CCCTCCGAGCCCGCGGAGTCCCCAAAGCCCTCAGAACCCTCGGAGCCCTCAGAGCCAACGGCGTGGCGCGCGCCAGGGCCCGGAGCGAGGCGGGGCCGTTGGGCCGGGCACGCGCGGGGGCCGCGCCGCGAGCCCGGCCCGGGGCCGGACGGGGCGTGCGGGACAGCGGCTCCCACGCTGTACAGGTCACACACGCGCAGAATCTCCTATAAAATTGTTAAAATAGCTCACCCGCGCCCTTACATTCTGTCAAGGACGTTCCAGAAGTGCGGTATGCAGAGGTCATTAACCGCTAATCCACGGTTCCGGCTCTTTAGTGCCACATCTCTGTGTGTTTTAAAAAGGAGTTGGGTGTTTGTAACTTCCCATTTTCAATACCAACCATTAATAGCATACAGTTAAATTAAAAAAAAAAAAAAAGATATTAAGGATGTGAACGCTTAGCATCAATCTCAGTGCACTGTGAGGAAGGGGGTAGAAACTCCAGATACTCCACTTAGCCGTCAAGAGATTTTTAGTAAGAGTTTGAGGTGTTTGGCTTTGAGTCCAAAGATTTCCTTTAGGTTGAAGAGAGAAAAAGATGTGATTCCTTCTCAGTGGCAAGTTAAATTTCTTTCTGGCTGATTTTGAGCTATTAGTAAAACATGGAATAACAATATATATAGATAGACATCAGGGCAGTTAGGAAGAGAACAGAGATAAATTTACAGCCTAGTGGATTACATGCTGCCTGCATACCTACAGACTTGGAAGGGCAGGAAATCTCTGACAAGAGATTTTGAGCAAGCCCAGTTTTAATTTGGTTCAGATAACATTAGGACTGTGAATTGCATGGAAGTACTTTAGTCTAAATGCTTTTCCCCAAAATCTCTAAGTCCAAAAAAGCCCTTTAACATTCTCTTCACACACATTCTGTTTTACTGGCTATGTGTGCCCAGTTCCACCATTAGCTAAGGTGGACATTAATTGCTAAATTTGATCCAGAGATTGGTAATTTTAGAGTAAGCAGAATTAATGTTTTATTTGAAGATTTACAGAGATGCAGAAGGTTGAAATTAAAAAAACATAATTTTCTGTAATGCAGTAATTGTCAAAAAAACCTTATCCTGCTGTGTGCCAACATTACAATATTCTATAAAGTAAGTCAAAGGAATCACACATTAAATACGAGTAGCATTAAATGAAAATGAATCTTCATGAACTTACTATTTTTATATTCTGCTCTAAGCAGCATTTGGAGAGTTCCTCACTTCTACCTTTTTTTAGTGAATGATGTATGATAGAGTTTCTCAGTGTGGCCCTGAAGCTGCAAAACCCTATGCTTTTATGCAAAACCCTTAAAATACAGCTTTGATCCAGCACACATCATTTTCCCTTACAAGTAAACTTGGAGTGACTGTAGCCACTATAAAACTCTGGCCAAATAAAAGAGCAAATAACCATACATAACTTTAAAAATAGAAAGCCAATCAAATAAAACTTATGTCCTTCTCCTTTCCACAAGGCAGTGTTTTCCTTCCAGATCCAACAATGAGTTTTCATTTCCTCCAATTCCACAATGGTCTGAAGTCTTGAAGAGGCAATCACCAATTTGCTTCCATTTAGTGTTTATGTCACTACTGTGGGCAATAAATGTAAAATAAAATGTGAAGTATTGCATTTCCACCCATGGTCATACTTTCCTTTACACTTCACTGAGGAACTCCCACGCTGGAACACTTCATGTGTAAAAATCTCCTGTTAATTGCCAGCTACTCTAAGTAGGAAAGAACTTAAAGCACTGCCAAGTTTCACAGCCTATATATCTTCAATGTATATTAAGAGCAGAATTATGGGTTTCAGTCACTTGGGATCCTATGACTGGTCTTTAAACTGAATAGAAATGAAAGGTAGTGAGGGAAAGACACACGGACTCTTGTGGAAGCTCTAATCACATGGGAACTGAATTGGTACCTTACCACATACCTACATATTCACGGCCGAGAACAATCTTGGTTGAGGAGTTAATCTTGTAGTGCCTAATACAGTGTGAGCTATGACTCAAGCACTTCTGGTGGGTAGATCATGTAGAACAGCTTCTCTCTTTCTGGTTTTTCTGATGTCCAACAAGAGCTGAGCTCATGATATAGCTTTTCCTGAAGTTATAGTATTAAGAATCTATCTTCCTCTAATCACACCACTTCTTGCACAAGCTTAATGAAAAATCCGTTTCCTAATGCCTCCTCCTCTCCAGTAAATTTGACTGAAATTAGTAAAGTGAAACACGAATATACAGAGGATGAGTGTGTAAGCCTGGCTTCCTTGGGAAACTAGTAAACACCAAACAAAAACATCCCTGTGCTCATTTCCCAAAACATGCAGCTCAAAAGGCACTTTGCTTGTGGGGGCTGGTTATGCTGCACACTTTCTGCCAAGTACATACTGTACTAAGCCTGAATTGTAATGACAATTCACAGGGTTAAATATGAGGTCCAAAACCTATTGCATTGTTTACATATATATATACACACACATATGTGTGTGTGTGTGTGTGTGTGTGTGTGTGTACGTATATTGACTAAAACTGTGTATATTGTTCTGGTCTCACACTGCACAAATACAGGAACATTGTTCAGACTTTTGAGGCAAAACCAAGCCAGCTAAGGCGTGAAAAGAAGCATGGAAAGCTGCAGCTCCTTTAAGTGAATGTTTTAGCGTGAGAAAGACGAAAGGCTGTACTTACACTGTAACATTTGACAACAACGGTCACATTTAAGTTGCAATTGTTATGCATGAACTATTCCCAGTGAGTAAGGGAAAACATATCCTTACTGAAGATAGAGTTAAACTAGATACCATTATTCCACAAAAACAATCTATTATACTTATTTTCACTTGTTTTACAGTAAATCCAACATCCGTGAATTATCAGCCTGTATTGCATTCAGTGACATGTAACTTGTGTTAGTTCATTAGGTACTAAGCATCAGAAACCTGGCTTCTGGTACACTCTTGGTCAAGAACTGTCCAGGGAGCACAGAAGAGCCTTAGTGCCTGGCATGATATTCCCTCTCTTTGATGCAAATTGGAGCATGATTAGATGCCAAGAAAAATGAAACGTGTTTACTTTATGGCTTTGCTAAATGGCGTGAACTGCCATTCAAATGTAGATCTGCCTTACATAAAAAGTGAGTTTTAAGTAGTAAGTGATCTCTCAGAGTTACACAATTTCAAAGAGAATTTATTATCCCCATACTAGCACCAGATGATGATTTATATGATTTATTTGGCACCTTCCTCTAATGTTCTTCACTTGACTGAAGGGAAGTCAGAATTAAAAGTTTATGGTCCCAAACGTTAACTGAAACACAGTAGCCCATGAATATTTGGGTATTCCCAGAAATAAAAATGTAGTAACAGACCAGAATAAAGCAAGTGGCACAATTGGAATTGTAGCTGCTCTGTGTCACGTATCATTTGGTCTGACCCTTTAGCAAGTGAGTCTGTAGCTGAAGTTTTAAATATCTTTTTTGTCACCTTAAATTGGTGACAAAACATCTCCAAAAGGAAACTGAGTCAAAAAATTAGGGTGATACAAGATGGAAATCAATAGGTATTGCAGATATAACTGAGTAAACTACTTAAATACAATATAGGCACACTTCTTATATGTGCAGTGTACAGTGAAGTACGTGGATTTTACTGGACTTCAGGCAGCAATAAAAATACACTATTGTTAATTGCATGCATTTTGATGACCACACAACTCTATCTCAACATAAGGAATTTAATAGGACACTTTCTGAATGTCTTTTTTAAATGACTGTATGATGGTGAGGCATTTTGCCTGCATTACTGAATCACAGAATCATCAAGGTTGGAAGAGGCCTTCAAGATCATCAGCCATCAACTCAGCACCACCATATCAGGAGTCAGCTCAAGCTGCTCTCAGATCCAGAGCTGCCCTGCTGAGGACTTGGAAGAGCTGGGGGAGGAGAGGCTGGACATGACCCAGCCATGGGCACTCCCAGCCCAGAGAGCCAAACGTGCCCTGGGCTGCATCCAAAGCCCCGTGGGCAGCAGGGCAAGGCAGGGGATTCTGCCCCTCTGCTCTGAGATCCCACCTGGAACACTGCATCCAGCTCTGGGCTCCCAGCACAGCAGGGACAGGGACCTGCTGGAGTGAGTCAGGGGAGGTCACCAAGAGATCAGAGAAATGGAGACTCTCTCCTTTGAGGAAAGGCTGAGAGAGTTGGGATTGCTCAGTCTGGAAAAGGCTTCAGGGTGACCGAACTGCAGCCTTCCAGTACCTTAAAGCAAGAGTATTTACACGGGCGTGTAGTGCCAGGACAAAAGGAAATGAATTCAAATTGGAAGAGAACAGGTTTTTATTAGCTATTAGGAAAAATAATTATTTTCTGTGAGGGTGGTGAGGCACTGAACAGGTTGTCCAGGGAAGCTGTGGATGCCCCATCCGTGTTCAAGCTTGTTGGAAGTAGATGATCTTCAAGGTCCCCTTCCAAACCAAACCATTCTAAGATTCTGACTATAGAGACTATAGAAACAGCAATAGAATCAAACCCATTCTGAGGAAACCAGTACTTGTAATTAAAAAAATAAAAAATATTAGCACGGTTTGTACCTTACAGAGCAGCCGACTGCCGGCGGGTCGGCCACACTTGGGAAGGTGCCTGAGGGAGCCCCTGCCAGCAGCACTGGGGAGCAGCAGCAGGCGAGCCGCGGGGGCCCTGCAACCGGCTGGGCCGCGCCAGGGACCCGGGAGGGACCCCGGGAGGGACCCCGGGAGGGCACACGGGCTGTCCCTCTGCTGTCCCCGGCCCGGGCACACGGGCTGTCCCTCTGCTGTGCCCGCTCGGCCCGGCCCGGCCCGGCCCGTCCCTCGCGGCCGCCATTTTGCGAGCGCGGCCCGGCAGCAGAGCGCTGGGACGGGGCGGCCGCGGGCCAGCAGCGCGCAGGTAACGCGGGGCCGCCGCCCCGGCCCGAGCGCTCGGCGCGCTGCCCTTGCTGCTCGTAGGCGGAGCAGCGCCCCGGGGCACGGGAGGGGCGAGCGAGCGGCCCTGGAAGTTAAAGCAGCCCTAATTAAGGATCAGTTTTTAAAGAAACTACGCTGTCATTGGTTCAAAAAGAGCTGCGTTTTTTTAGTGTTGTGAACTGTGTTGGGATTTTCCAGGATGTCCTTCCTGAGCTCTGGTCACACATCATGACCACGTAACTCTGCTTGCCTATTTGTCTCGAAAGAGTAAGCTTCGTGTTTCCTAGCCAAGTAAAACGCCATAGTTTTTTTACACGAAAGGTGCAGAATATTTGGCTGTTTTCATTACTGGGTCTCTATAACTGTTTTCAAAGCAATATCCTGTTACAGATACGCAAGAGCTGAACCATTTCTTAGGTTATATGTGATATATTAAGTCCGTAGCTGGCATTATTTTGACTTCTTTTTGTATCTGGTTTACGTTGGAATAGCTCGTAATGAACATTATCATTGGCAATGGAAGAGGGCAACTCCAGGTTGTAAAATAATTCTGCATGCATGACTTTATATGTACAGGTAGTTCATCTGAATTCCACAAGTCTACTCGTGCATGCAAACACACACATTTGTACAGTGCCATGTCACTGTCCAAACTGTGGCTTTGGAATGTACTTCTTCAGTAAGAATTGAAGATTGAAGAAATTGAAGTTGGCAGAGTATTTGGCATTTATCTTGGATCCTGTCTGTGAACTCCTATAATCTCCAGAGGCATCTCATTCCCTCTGTTCATTACATAAAGAGATTTGGGTCTAATCTTTGCTTCAGAATACCGCATTACCCAGTAAAAATTGCATTTTTCACCACCACGGTTTGATAAAAAAAGTTTGAATAAAACTATTCATGGATCAAATTTCACACCTGTTTGTTACTTAGAAATCCTGCCAAAGTAGGTCCAGTTAAAAGAGATGATGGATGAAGAATAGTAATTCCTTGTTGCATACATTACACCGTTTAAAATACCCGAAATGTTTAACATAAGGACTTCTCATAACATAGCAGGACTTTGCTGCCATCTTTCACGCTGCAGTGAACATTCTGTTGTACAGACCATATGGTTTGCTTGGGTTTCTTGGGGTCCTTCAGGCAAAGGAGAGAAAAAGAAACAAATCCAGTACAACTTAAGTAATATTCAGGGAAGGTTTGACTAGATGTGGACTGGAACTGATGCTAATTTTAACTATTTTAAATGCTCTAGAAGCAAAATTGAACAGATCCCTGCAACAGCGAGTAACGATGTACCTGGAGTTAGAATTAGAAATGCGTCATGAATTAGATTTTAACATTTTAAGCAGAGTGCAGCTAGCCCAGCTATGAATGTTGTTAGTTCCTATGCAGATTTCGCTGAAATTCCAAAGAAATGTTTACTGCACTAAGAATTTTATCTTCAAATAACAAACATTCCAGGGAAACCAAATACAATTTTAAAAGAGACAGTATACTTACTCCTCCTAAGTAAAGCCATTACAGAAGTTTTGTACAAAAGGCTGTACTTGATGATTTGGTAGAATGTGACAAGTTTGTCTTCACTTGCTGGAAACAGTGTTTTAAATAACTTGATGTTTTCAGGAGCATGTCTAATTCATCGAGATGAAAACCTGTTTAAATATCTTTTGGATTATCTTCATGGAGAAGTTCGGATTCCTGGAGATAAATAAATTCGAACTGCAGTGCAGGAGGAAGCAGATTATTTTGGAATCCCTTATCCATACAGTCTGTCTGTCTGATCATTTGGCCAATGAAATGGAGACATACACTTCAAGGTCCAATATAGAGCTTAAAAAGGTCCTGATATTTCTTTGATGCTGAACTTTCTAACCCGTGCCATTCATTAGCACTAAACACTAAAGCTACACAATGTCCAAGTTAGCACTTCTTAGTGACCACAATAAATCATAAATAAATGCAGTTTTAGGTCAAGTAATCCTAGAGTTGATAATGCAGTCAGTATAGTTAAGGACACCAGCTTTTACCATCATTGCAATACAGCAACAGTTTAAATGTAAGTGTTGACATGCAAATCTGCTATAGAACTTAATAAATAAGAAGGAGATTTAGTTTCCTATTTGGTTTCGAATTTTATTTTAATTAGATTTGATCCCTTCATGTTGTTTGGGTTGAGGTTTATTTTTCAGTTTTACAAATTATTCCTAAAACTTGTAAGACAAAATGTACTCTGGCATTTCTTTAGAATGAGAAAGGAGAAAAGATAATTAGTGTATTGTTTTAAATCCTAAGGTTTTAGAGTATTGTAACTTAAAAGCTAATTCTAATTAACTGGTAGGAAATTAACTCATTTTACCAGCTCTGGCTGTGTTATTCCTGACAGTCATCTATGCTCTCTTAGCAAGTTATTTTTCCCTGTATTTCATATTCTCCCTTACTCATTTCCTTTTGAAAAGTGTAAAGCAATTCCAGGCCTTTCAGTTTCTCTGCATGTGAAGGAGTTGCCTTGCCTTTATTTCTGTTGCCTTTCTGTGAACCTCTTAGTTTTACAACATTCTCTGGTAAAATCAGATAAGAAATAACTGCAAACATTATAGAAAAATTACATCCTTGATTTACTTAAAAGAGATCACTGGTACAGTTTAGAAAACTTAAATATGAAAGCTTATTCAACTAAAAATACTGTGTTTCTTATTAATATTCTGTATGTTTTATGCTTTTTCCAGGCTTTGTTGGATTTCTGTGATTCTTACCATTTAGTTTGTACCAAGCCTACAGTTTGGGTCCTTCACTATCTCAACACTTCTGGAGCAAGCTGTGCAAGTAAAATTATTGGTGTGTATGCTACAAGACCTGATGGGGCTGATGCAATTAATAAGGCACTAGAAATGAAAATTCATAGTAAAAGCATGTACAAAAGGTAAGGCGACTGTCAAATATTAAAGCATTCTGAAGTGAGAATAAATAAATATTGTAATTATGCCTGAATATTATCATATGTAGCATAATGCAGCATTATTGTACTATAAATCCATGGAAGGAATCTTTCCAGCTCCCAATGCAGCTGGGTAATAGAATGTCCACATTAATCAAACAAACAAGATAAAATCTAAGCCTGGAGGGTTAGAATTTGAGAGAGTACATACAAGGTGGTTAGCATGCAGTTGCTCTAAGTTCTTATTCTGTTTGACTTACTATTTTTAAAATGTCTCAACAACTAAAAAATTCTAATATTTACACTAAGTACAGTGAATGAATCCCCATACAGAAAAAGCTCCAGAAATATTTGCAAAGTTGGTTGTGATTCATGCAATTCTTTTGTGCAGTCTTCTAAGACAGCTGAACACTGAGAACCAAAGATGAAAGGAAATGGTTTTAAATCTTTAAAGAAGGTGTACAGCTGTATTACACTATTAATGTATTTACATGGCAGTAATTGGAAGTTATTGGTAGACCTGTACTTACAACTGGAAGCAGTTGGTCTTTGTCTTTCTCAAGTGCAGTGTCAGAAGTGTACTTCACTGTGCATCTTTTGATTAAGATAGAACTCTTAATACGTCATCATCTTTATCATTAGGATGCATATATTCCTAAATTTAAGCTGGGAACATTAATATTTATTCCAAGAATATTTGGCAACGTATCAGGTATCGGTTCTCCTACTGTGTATTCTAGAAAAATAGGTTTTACATAAATAATGCTGTAATTATTCTTCTATGAACATCTTTTCTTTCATGAATATCCATTTTTAGCAATAGGCATTCACAGGAGGATTAGAACCTCTTGTTTGAATAAAAACAAAATCAGAGTAACATTTTCCTTTCTGCTTTATAAAACATTTACTGCTAAGTCCTTAAAAAGAATTATATATTTTATATATATTTATATAATATATATTTCTAATATATAAGGTATTTATATATTATATATTAAGTCTTAAAAAGAATTATACATTTCACCAATGGTACATTTTTAAGGACTAACTAATCACCTATAACCTTTAAAACAATATTTCTAGAGAAGCTGGAAATAACATCCAATACATCTGGAGCTATTACTCAGTAGCTGAGCTGAAAAAGATGATGGATGCTTTTGATGCCTGGGAAGGGAGAGGTAGAGTAATAATTTTTTATTTCAGTATTACTACTTTTTAACATAAAAATAAGAAAAATATTTGCCAACCGAGTATAATAAAAAACTCTTCATAAACTTTCATAACATTGTAAAATAGTAGTGGCTGTTTGGGGAAAATATGTTTTATTGGACGTTTCAGAGAGGGGACAGGAGTTAACATGAATGAAGCAGCATGCTGGCTGTCAGCAGTGCTCATGTCAGCAGATTGAGAGTTGAAATTCTGCATAATAAAATACATGTATTTATGTATTTAGTCAAGTGTAAACATGCATGGCTGTGTTCTCTCAGCTCATCAGTACAATGCTGCTATGCAGTGCAGGTGTCAGCTACTGGAGAGTGCCTCAGGAGCTGTCTGAATGTTGGATTCTGGAAGAACACCCTCTGAGAGGCAGTTTGCATCATATGCCTCCAGTTTATAAAAGGTATGCTGATTTGCATAGGTGGTGTAAAATTAATTAACAAATACAGTGCCATCGTTTTTTCCCCCCCTCTGTAATTTCAGGTTCCTTAAATACCTATGCATGTTGAAATTTCTCTGTTTTTTAAATTTACATTTTTATGAGATGTCATAGAGCACTTAATTGCACAACTGAACTTACTAGAAACAAATTTACTTTTTTTTAGGCTGCTGAGAAATCTCAACAGCTTGGCAAGGAGTAACTTGAAAAACTAGAGAGCAGGATTAGTTAAATGGACTGCTAAACCAGATATTTAAGTGAAAACTTTAAAAGGTTAACTGATTTTCATGTCTGTGAAATGTCTTCTTTTTAGAAGGAATTCCTAGAACTTCCTCTTTGCAGTTTTATGGCAATATTCTTGATTATACCTCCATTCTCAACACATTACCTAAAAGCAGCCTTTTGCAGTGCCACTGCACAGTCACCTGAGCCAGCCTGCAGCCACTTCACTGCTAGAATTTTTGACGTGTCATCTTATAGAGGAAGAAGAAATTAATGGTTCAATTCACAGAAAGGCAACCCTGATTGTAGTGATGACCTGTTGGGAGCTGTAATTGATGCTTGTTACAGTATCACTTAAACCTATTAGTGAAAGGCTGTTGCAAATGGTCTGTTTTGTAATAATATTATAAAAATAACAATTTACATATGTAGTCACTTTTTAATTGAAGTTTTTTTTTACAGACGATTAATTGACTCTACTGAAGTGGAAGGCTGTTTACCATGTAAAGTGGGTCCCCAGCCAATTAGATTCTCAGGTCCTTCAACAAGTACCCACATAAAAGTCAAGAACTCATCTTCATTAAAGGTAGCTGCTTGCAATACTTCACATTCTGCAGCAATTCTTAAACGACCCCGTAGTGAAAGCCTGATGCTGCACAAAGAAGCTTCTGGAACCACATCCACAACACGCACATCAGTGGCCAGCCAGTCCCAGGCTCCCTGTGGAAGGCAGAGTGCTGGCAATGGGACACTGAGCCAAACGCCATTCCCAGGTGCAGGGAGCAAGAGGCCAGGGAAGAACCGCGCAGTGAGGCTGAGCAGGACTCTGCTTGTTCTTGTGACACCATCTCTGCCACCTCCCTGTGCATCCAGTGGAACAAGTCCACAGGACAGTGTTGCTGGAGAAATGCCTACTCCTTGTCCAGTACTGAACAAGAAAGAACCAGCTCTATTAGCTGACTTAAGAGTGATGAAGTGGATGGATAATGTTTGACTCAGTCTGATAGACTGGACAGCTCTGCATTATAGAGATCATTACCTCATGTAATCCTTTATTCAAAAATTAGGAGAAAATTTTGATGAAAAAGATAATGAAAAGCAGAGGAAAAAATTGTTTTAAGGGAGCATTGAAGTGTGTTTTCTGCTTTATTTCTAGGTATTTTTTTAGATGTTGGGAAGAGAAGAAGAAAAATGGATCTAAAAAATCGCTCTAGCACCTGCAGTTTAACATTCCAGTGACTCCCATTTGTATTTATGTTGGGCTGTACCGAAAAGTGAGTACTTGCACAGCATAAAAGAAAACCTCTTTATGGACTTTAACTACAACTGAACCTCAATTTGTTATCTTTTAAAGGGGGGGGAAGGGAATAAATTGAGTGGCTTTTGTTAGATACAAGTTTGCCACAAGTGAACAACCTATGAATGCTGCAGAGACACCAGAAGTTGAATGCACTTACTGGCACTTGTGCTGAGGGTAGATCACAATTTCTGCTCTCACTAGCAATGCAAGGGATCCCCTGTGCTTGTACACTGAGAGAAAATTCAGAAATCCAGGACGGGAAGAAGTGTGCTGTGTGAGTAACAAGGCTGCTCTTTCTGCAGAGAACACACATTTACAGACACACACAGAGTACCGTGGTGTGATCTGCCCCTGCGGCGGGGCTGTGGCGTTTTGTGTCACACCGCTGGGGGATGGCTTTTCTGGGCCTGCAGGGTCTGAGTTACACCTGGCCTTACGTGTCCTTCTGCAGGTCCTTTCAGATCAGGAGGGCACAACCTCAACTTGTGTGAGGTTGAAGTGCCATAGTTTGAAGAAAAAGTCTCCCTCCTTCCCCCCGAGCAGGCTGGAGGAGACATTCTTGTAGCAGGGCAAATGTTGAGTAATGATACTGAAACAAAGAGCTGCTGTATGTTTCTATCAGCATAGGAAAAGCAAGTTTGGATCCTTGATTTTCAAGAGCCCTTTTAGTTGTTTAAATCAGTGAACAAAACCTGGCTTTGTTTTGTACCCTTGCTTAGAGTTGGGTCCAGGGCTTTTTTGCTGTTTTTATGACTACTTTTGCTTCTCCAGCACAGTAAAATACAGCTGTCTCTGAACACTGAGAACATTACCAAAAAACAAGTTCTTAAAATTCCTGAGACTATTAGAATTACAGAACGGTTCTTTAAATGTTTTATTTGCTAGATCACTTAAAGCCATCACATTTTCAGGCTTTTCTCCCAATCATAAGGACTTGAAACATAATTTGCACAAGTAAAAAACCCCACATTTTCATGTACTAACATGTTTCTAAAGAGACATTTTGCCATGAACAGTAGCCACTATAAAGGTGTAGAGCATTTTAATTTTCTGCTATTGGTGTGTATATGGAAGACCTGCTGACCTTTAGAGTATTTAAGCTAGTGTTTTTTCTTTAAAAATAAACCTGAAAATCAACAATCCCAAGGCTCTTCCTATCTCAACAAAGAAAGTTTCACTGAACAAAGAACAAAGCAGAAATTAGGGAAAGATACATAACATAATGTACTCCAGGATTCTTTCAAACATGCAATTCATTGAGACTAAGATTGTGAAATTTGTTTTGCACACTAATCTGACTGAAAAGCAGTTTTTAATATTTCTGAGTTGTATTTCACTATTTATTCAACGGCTGAATTAAAGATTACAATCTTTTTATAAGGCTTTCTACAGCTGATTTCTTCCAACTTTTGAATTTAGAAAGCTTCTATAAACACAGAATCAGAAAATATATAGGTGAGAAAAGACAAGAATACAAGAAAAAATACAAGAAAAAGCTTTGAGAATATTCCTACAGGACTTCATGTACTTTATGTACTTTTTTGTACTACCTCAGTGTTTACTTAATTCTTTTGGTAGCACAGTATATTTTGAGACAACATTTGTGTCATTTGCATTACAGTGGCATTAATGAGTCTTCTCTTTGTCCTAGACATACTAGCTTGTGGTTAAAAAAATACAAAACAACCCCCTTGAATTTCAATAGATGAAATGAGAATGTGGCTGTGGTGAAGAAGGTAAAAAAGGAATTGATTTTATTTATATATTTTCAATTGGATGGGATGCAAACACGGCCTTTTAACTTATCTAAGTAAGCACTTCCAGCACGTTTTTTATATCACAGAATCTTGTTCAGTTTCTGTTAACTGCTAAGAGTGATATTGAACTGTTTTATGGTAGATGGATAGCATTAACCTTCGTGCTGACTGGAACCAGATGTACTGTCAAGTGGTGTGACAATGGTTTACTCTGAATCTTTGTAAAATTATAAATCATTATAATCATGTTTAAAAAAAACCCGAAAAACAACATGTTTAGCAAGTTATTCCAATTCCAGAATCACTGGGTTTTCTTTAAAGGAGACATTTTCAAGCACATTAAGTGCTAGGGTTTTTAATCTTTTCTTTTTTCCCAGGCATGGTTAACTAATGTAAGTGTTCCAAAGAGTCTGACTGCATTCAATTACCTTCACTTTTTAGTTTTCCAGCTGTTTATGTGGATCTTTATTTTGCTGGGTTCTGCCTTTACTCTGAATTTAATCTTACATAAAAGATAAATAGACTCAACCTGCTTTAAAATACTACTCCTTTAAGATGTGTTTCCAGTTCTGGAAGAGCACAAAGTGCAGTGGGAATTCCGTGTTTGTGTTTGAGTGAGGCCAAACAGCTGTATTTGCTCTGCTAATTGAGGGGACTTTTAGACTGGCCTGCAAGGGAAGCCTTGCCCTGCCATAAATTCCTCCACTGCCCTTCTACAAGTACCTTAAAAGGAGAATTGCATGTAGTTGTCTCTGTAATGTGAAGATAAAAACAGAGTTCTGTTGAAGATGAGCCCAAGAGCATTTGGCTACTTGTAACTACCATGAACAGTAAAACACTCCTAGAAATTGGCAGATACAGTTCCAAGCACACAGACACACATGAAATGAAAGATGAAGATTCTGACAGTTTCAGAGCACAGCCACATAATGTGGTTAAAATGTGCATTGGAATAACCTTCCCAAACCAGTACAGATACTAGAAAAAACTTGGTGTGCTAAAACATCAGCATTCCCACAGCCAGCCTTCTCCTCAGCTTAGCCAAACCCATGCACAGCTCTTTACCAAAGATTTCCTTGTATCACCAGAGAAAAGAGAAATGCTGTCTCTCACCTGTTAGTCCTGCATGTGTCACATACTGAGCCTCCAGTACATCAAAGCTTGGCTGGAACTGAAGAGCACAAGGTAGTCCTGTTGTGCTGAGTTATGACTTAAGTTACAGATTTTATTTATTTATCTGCAGAATGTCGCTGGTCAGAAACTGACTCATGGAATAAAGTAACTTTCAATAATGTAATAATCAAGTGTAGAAGCTGTAAGGAAGGAATAAATGTCATTACAGATAAGTTCTATTTTCCTTTTTTTAGGAAGGATTACAAGAAGAGACATTTCACAACTTACATATGGATAATATACGAAATTCCTGTGTAATATCTGTATGGAATTTTAATTAAATCTCTAAGAGTGAGGTTACAGTGAAACTCTAAGGCAGCAGATAAATTTTGAAAAGCTACCTATCTGATGGGTATGCACAACAGAGATTCTGGAATTTCAGTTCCATCTATTTCAAAACATTCAGCTCAAAAGTGTGATAGGCAATTAACTCGGAGAATAGCAGTGCTTGCAATGCTAAGAAAGCCAGTGTCTGCCTGCACATTTACTTTTCTTTTGCTACTCTTCCAGATGACGAGTTACTTGCCTTTTAAAATGAGGTTTTACCAATATTCACATGTGGGATACTATCTAAAGGAAAATAAAAATTAGGGAATGCACCTCTTCCCTTGGAGATTATTTTTCAAGGGCCCCAGAGGAACAGTAATCCAGTCAGTATTAAGGAAGTGTGCAGTCAACAAACAAGGTAGAGGAAATGGGTAAAAAGCAATAGCAAAAAATCACCTAGGTGTAAACTTTTAAAGCTACTGAAGTGTCCTCCTGCTCCTACTGACCTCGACAGAGGTCAACCTTACTGACCTTTACACCTTCCTGATTCTGACACTGAGTCCAACAGGTCACTTGACACCAGCTCTGGATTCTGACACCTTACTATGTTAAAGAGTAACTTACTGTAAAATGTGTTCAGCATGGAGGTGGCTCTCATGGCAAGGTTGTTTTGTGTGCTGTGGCATTAGAATCAAGCTAGAAGCAAAAGCCTAGTCCAGTCCAAACTCAGCTGAAAGCTTCCCACTGATACCAGTTCCACTACACAAATAGAATCTGAGTAAGAGCACAAGGTTAGGCACTGCAAAGCAGCAAACACCAGAGTATTTTAGAAAGAAGATTTTAATTATTTGGAAGAAACAGGTTTTCTGAAATACAGACTCAGAACATAAAGACTAAGTAATTTATTAGTCATAGCTCTTGTTATGGACAGATGGTTCCTACAGCAAAAATATAGAAAAATAATTTGAATTCAAGTCTAGAAGACCTGCAACTTTTCATATGCAAAAAATAAATCCAACTAGTCATAGAAAAGTGGCTGATAAGGATGGAGAACAGGGCTGTGCACTTGAGTAGCCATTACTATATACATTCCAAACTTAAATGAGCATATTTCCTCAGCCTCATAAAAATAGTTTGTCCATGAAAAATACCAATATGTAATACATTTAATACAATTTATACTTGAATTTAAAGATCTCAGATTATGGAATAAGAAGCTAAAATCAAACGAACTGCTTTTTCAACTCTTCTCATATAGAACAATACTCTCTGTGTATACAGTGTGCATGCATGTACGTGTATACATGCACAGAAATAAAAGAGGTGTATAGAGATTTGCTGAAAAATTCTACAAGATTATTTGATTTCATTGCAGACCACAGCATACAGACTTCCTGGGATCCTTCTAACACAGGCTGTTCTATGAAATAATAATGTTGACTGGTATAACCACATATCTACAACATGTTTTTACTATTATGAATTTAATTATCAATTTATCTTTCCAATCTAGATTTAATTTTTCTAAGAAGTAAATGCTGCTTTGGTAAGATTCCGTACAGTCATGACAAAATAAATGTGAACATATTGGGGAAAGCCTTGAAAGTATGATTTAATTTTGATAATTAGTAAGTAATAAAGATACCAACCAGTTTTAAGCAGCAAAAGATTTAAAAGACTATGTTCTGACTTTCTTCACCAACAAGCTTTTCGAGCAACAAACTAAAATGAAGAGATTGAATTTCTCTGCCTGCCATCACTGTGACATTTTAAGCGACCAAAGTCACAGCTGGCACTGAAAGAACAGTGGCATCAGCAGAGACCTCCATCCTTGCAGGGCATAAATTGCATTGTGACACCCTGCCAACGTTGCCTTGGAAAGGCCTGTGCTCTGCGGTGTCTGGTGTGTGATGCTTCCGCCGGGACTTCTCCGAATGCGTTGGATTCTCTGTGGTCCTTGCAGTTGTAGACTGCTCTTGATTTTTCATAGCTCCTTTATTTTTAGATCGAAAGCTGTTATGCTGCTGTCTTCTGTGCTCAGACCTGGAAGCACTCTTTGTATTTTGATCTGCCTCATTACTGGCACCTTGTGACTTATGAGATCCATTGAGCCGCATGTTTTGGTGCTGTGGGTTGAATCTTCGTCTCTGGCTAGAAGGTCCATTCTACCCAGAAAGAAATTGCATAACTGTTAGGTTGTCTGAATCCTTCCAACAGGCCAAGAAACACAGCAGTCAAAATTAACAGTGTTACTGTTAGGAGGCAACAGGAGAGGGAAAACACTAAAAGATCTTGATTCTTCATTGTTACCAGAGTCTCTTTATAATAACTATAACCAGAACTATGAGTACCATACTACAACTGAGTAGCCTGGAGATACAGATGGCAGGTTCATCACTGATGCCAAGTTAAAATCTGCCATGATTCAAGAAAATACAGAAAAGGGGATGAAATTCTAGACATCTCAACAGCAGTTGCTGAGGAAAGGGATCTGCACGTTCTGGTCAATAGAAGTTAAACGCTAGTCAGCAGTGCCCTGGCAGCCAGGAGGGACAATGCAGTCCTAGGGGGGTATCAGGCTCAGCATTGCCAGCCGGGCCAGGGAGGGGATTGTCCCACTCTGCTCTGCACTGGGGGAGCCTCACCTTAAGTGCTGAGGGCAGTTCTGGGTTCCATGATACAGGAAACACATTAAACTATTAGACAGTGTCCAAAGGAGGGCCATGAAGCTGGTGAAGGACCCTGAGGAGAAGCCGTGTGAGGAGCAGCTGAGGTCACTTGGTCTGTTCAGTCTGGAGAAGAAGAGACTGAGGAGGAAACCTCACTGCAGTCACAACTTCCTTGTGAGGGGAAGAGGAGGGGCAGGCACTGATCTCTGCAGTGACCAGTGACAGGACCAGAGAGAATGGCCTGAAGTTGTGTCAGGGGAGGTTTAGGTTGGGTATCACGGATAACTTCTTCACCCAGAGGGTGGTTGGGCACTGGAACAGGCTCCCCAGGGAAGTGGTCACAGCATCAACCCTGACAGAGCTCAAGACGTGTTTGGACAATTCTCTCAGGCACATGGTGGGATTTTTTGGGGGGGTGTTGTGCAGGGCCAGGAGTGGGACTCAGAATACTCTGTGATTCTCTGAGCAGTTAAGAAGTACTGAAGAACTTAATACTGACTGATTTTTTCCAAAATAATGAATATTGCTTTCCTAGTAAAGCGTTATTCAAGTACTGCAGTATGACTGCAGGAAGAACAGACAGTCACATGTAAATGAAAGTCAAGTGAAAAATCCTCATTGTGGAAGACACGTCCATTGTGATATTTTGCTCAGAGGATGCTTTGATTTTTAGTGGGAAGTGAGCGAATTACTTTTATTTGCATGCCTGACAGGACAGGTGATTCCATACATGTACTGACATTATGCACCATCTTACATTTCCCATCAGGCATTTACTTGATTCTAAAATCCCTACTAGGACAAAACTCAGACCAACTTCAGTGGCAGCTTTACCTAAGAACAATAGTACTGGGACATTCTAAGGTGCTATTACAACAAAATATAATACAATGCTACTAATATAGCACAACACTATAACATCTATTATAGAGCTTCTGAAATAATAAGCTTTTAAATCTGGCAGGATTCTACTTTCAAAGTGTATCTAATAATTGTGCTTCAACAGCACATCAGCTGAGCATTTATCAAGCACTAAATGTTTCTCCTCCATAACAGTTATCTATAACGGAGGGGGTTTTCTTTTTCACTCTATTACTGCTACTAGACATTTCTAAACAGACAGCTGTCTTTACTAATATGGTATTTCTGATATTTCTACTTTGTATGTTCACACTGACTTGAAAATGAATCTGGAAAATAAATGCTTACTATCTTCAAAAATTACTAATTAAATATAGACCACGAAACACTTTTTGATTTTGTATTAACAACTTTCAATGCTACATATTTTTCTGAAAGTTTTGAAGTAATTTAGTTTAGTTCATGACTGATTGACATATTACCTGCTTATTTGTTGGGACTCCTTGAGAAGAAGATTCTGTAGGATTGGAAGGATAACTTTGTACTTTACTGCTGGCTGTTTTATTATCAGAGTTCTTGGCATTACTAGAGGACTTTCGGTTGTGTGTATTTTGCTTGCCAGTTGTTGCATGCGAGGTCATTGAAGAGAGCACTAAACTACATGGTGTTCTTGAGGAATAGTTGTTCTTTGGGTGAGAAACTGTAAAAAAGGGATAATGTGTTATCAGTTAAATGATCAACATCTAAACAGAAGACTGTATTCTTACCCTGCTTATAGTTAATTTTGGAAGCATTGTTTCAGTCTCACTCTAAAATAATGAAGCAAGCTAACTATTGAAGTAACTTGCTCGGAGTCAGGCCATAGTGTTCTACACCTGTAAGTCTGCCTGTAAAGCAGTTCTGCAGATAAAAGAGCCAATGTGGTGGCACTGCATTAAAACTGGAAGGAGCCTGGCAGAAGGCCAGGCTTTTGGAATCCAAGAGAACTTGTTCCTATCTAAAGGAAACGGTAAAAAAGGTTCTTCTGTATCATGGGTATCTATAAAAACTGCAACTGAATGCAGTGCACTAATCCACTTCATGCAGATCACAGCAGTCTGCACCATCAGGAACCACTACTGCCCACCTCCATATATTCCTACTCTCCACTTCTGAGTATTTTGAAATCACCTAATTCACTAAGCACTGTTGTATTTGGATATGAAATGCACCCAAAGAATCCTTGATTCCTCTCTGCATTTTTCAAGCTGCCTTTGTGAAATGGTCCCCAAGCAGTCTTGAAGAGGATTCTGATGCCAATAAAATTCTTGATCATTATTTGCCATCCTGATTTTTCTGATTATGGAATTTTTCTCTTTCCTTCTAATACAGATGACAAATTTGAGGCTCACTCCACAAAGACACCTGTTGTTTTTATCTAAGAGGTACTTCTATTTTTTCACTTCTAGTTCAGAGGAAGAAGACGAGGAATCATTTTAGTAACTAAGCATCATCTGTTAGGTTTTCTGAAGATCTTATTCACTTAGACCAAAATCAGCTACTTCTCCCACTAGGTGTCCTCTTCAGAAAAACAATGCAATGATCTGCACAATGAACTGAATTTTCTCTCCTGAGTTCAGTGAGGCCAACCATCCCTGAATTCTATTAATTCTCTCTCATCTAAAACAGACTGCTGCACATGGAAGCCCATATAAAAACCCAGATGCTTGTCATAAAAATGTGTTTTTAACAAAAAAAAATGTACAGGGAAAGGATACTGTGTGTTCTGATATATGTCAATCCAATTACTTTTGTTTCTTCCTGTCCTTCATTTTGAGTATATGCTGTCTATGATCTCCTCATGCTAGAACATTCCTTTCTTTGCACAAACTCTGTTGGTTTGGTTATTGCTTTTATTAAAGCCCTTAAGAGTGGCTGTTCTTAGCTAATAGGCCTTGTATAATCTCTTGTTTGAGGGGTATTTGCAGCTCCTAGCAGGGTATGGGCCTCATTGAGACATGATGCTAACAGAAGCATCTTTTGCACTGAAGGTCTCAAAGACACCAATCATCACAAGCTGCTCATCTAAGGTCACTGAGGGCAGGTATGAGCAAAGTTCCTCAGACAGTCAGTGCACTATCAGTCATTTCTAGGATGACACTGCTCCCCTGCTAATAGCTGCTCTTTTGACTTCACTGACCTGATTTAAACAGGCCTGCATCAAACTACACTTACGTAATGCTTTACTGAAATGAGGTATAAATAATTAACTTGCAGAATTAACTGCAGCTGGAAGTTATTTAGGAAAGTAGTTCAGTGAGTTTTAAAAAATAGTCTATGGCTGTATCAATAGCAGCTGTGGTATTATTAGTCAAGATAATCTTTATGGAATTTTCAATCTCTAATGCTTCAGGGTATTAGATAGGGTCTATGAGGTGACTGCAAACAATTAGATGCATTACTGGGAAGTTTATGTCTTCCTCTGAAACATCCTGGGTTGGTTTCATTGAGAGACAGGATATGGGATTAGAGGGATCTTCAAAGTGTTCTGCAAAAGCAGTTCTTATGAGTTAAACTGCTTATGCCTTCAAGCAGTCAGTTCTTTAGCTGTACAGTCAGAAACTTGTATTGGCAGACTGTGTAGCATTTTCTCCATTTTCTCTTTTTAGGAACTCCTTGAAAACATTTATTATTTTCCTTCCACCAAGATGCACTTGTTCAGTATTGTTTTACCAGGTTTCTCCTGAATGGAATACCATAGGACAGCGTAACATACATACTGGGCAAAGCCTTGTATCATCTACTTTGTTTTAGGGAGAAAAAAAGCATGACAGAGATGAGAAATAGGCTCCTATTTTGCAACAGGGACATGGTACTTGAAGCAAAAAACGTGAACCCGAATTTCCAAGCAGAAGGGCAGATAATTTGGAAACAGGAGCCTTGAGAAAAAAAGGCTGAGGGGAGACCTTACTGCTCTCTACAAGTGCCTAAAAGAAGGCTGTAGCAAGGTGGGATCAGTCTTTTCCAACCTTAGTGATTCTATGATTTGGGAATCTAGATGGCTTCTGAAAACCCCAATGAATACTGTTACAAAGCTGGGGAGTTCTTAGCAGGAGAGGCCTGAACTGGTCTCATTACATTATGCTCACACACAGAAGCTTCCAATTTACTATTTATTTATAAATTACTGAATTTGTGTATTCCCTAGAGTTGGGATCCTGTTTAGATTGAAAACTCCAACTGATCTGAGTAATACCTGGGACTCTCTGACAAAGATGGTACTGTGCACCTGCAGATGGAGTGTGCAGCCCAGGCACAGTGAGGCTAACATGCTGCAAACAGTAAAGTTGACTCGTGTGTGTCCAGCAGCCCTGCTGCATCCAGAGACACCACTGGGACTGGGCTTGCTGCACACTCACACACTGGCAGCACATGTGCTGTCAGCTCTGCTGAACTGGTGTGATTATTCTGAGAAACTCAGTGAGAGGGATCACCAGCACTTACTTTCTCCACAGAGCTGAATCTGGGTCTTCAGCTGCTCTGTATCACAGGAAAATCGGGCAGACCTGCCCAGCTCTTCATCATATTTTCGTTCACTCACAAAGTGCTGCAAAAATAAACATGTGAACACTGATTTACATTCTGAGCAAAAGACAGTATGGGTGGGAAAAGAACCAATCAACACTTAAACTCACTTTAAGGCTCCACACATTCTTGACCCTGCCCTGTTCACAAGACCTCCGTGCAGCACAGCTATTTTCCCATCATTACCGAATTATGTCTCACAGCCCAGTGATGGGTGGATCACTCCCACACTTGGGAAGTGGGTCATTTCAGCAGAGAATGTATGTTTGACCACTGAACCTGAAGATATCAGGTTTACTTGCATCTGTACACTGCTTGGAGGTGCTACAATGCTTTAAGAAGCTACACTTTCCCTATGGAAAGCTATTTACCCCTCAGCCCATGGCAGGAATGAACAGCCTGGGCATGTTAATGTGACAACTCTTCCTTGGCATTTCTGCAAATGGCTAAAATACCCAAGCAGAAGTGAATGCCTGACCTTAATTTCAGCCCTGAGTTCAGAGAGTTGTGCTTCAGCCATCTGACTGGCTAGGTCTGCCAGCCTCTTCAGCTCCTCTGCTTTCTTCTGCCGAGCAGTCAGGATTTCCACTGCCAAATACCAATAGTCAGTCATTAATGCTAGGAAGGTAAATTGCTCTGTAATTTATTAGTCTTTGGGCATTAACATGGTACATCCCATGTGAGACAAACACAAGGACCACTGACTTCAACTGGACTTTCAATATAGCATTTGCACAGATTAAGTTGATCATCATATTTCACTTAACTGCCTGATTTTGAAAAAGATCTNCACAAGGACCACTGACTTCAACTGGACTTTCAATATAGCATTTGCACAGATTAAGTTGATCATCATATTTCACTTAACTGCCTGATTTTGAAAAACAGCTGTCAGAAAATCAAAGTTAAATCAATCCTCCAACATTCAGAGACAAACAGGGGCAAAGACATGTTGTTCTGAGTTTTCCAGTAGTTTATTTTGAAGCACAAAAACAGGGAGCCTCCCAGAGACATAGAAAGAAGCATTACATTGAGTCACCAGCCTTTTTCTGAAGACATGCTGCATTTGATTTATATAGGGGAATTTCACTTCCTCTGAAAAAACCTGTTCATACAGTTTATGTTATCATAATTTTGCTTTCACATATGGAATACACACATTTGCCGTTCCAAACCAACACTGAAGGCCAGTAGTCTTTATGAAAAAAATACTAAATATTCATTACTGCCTGTTTTCCATATTCTATGTAAGGAAGAGGTGAGTAATTATATTCTTATAGGGAAAGATTAATCATAAGCCACGAAGCAATGGTCTACTTGTATACAAGATAATAAGACATTACAATTTTGGTGGAAATATATGCAAACTATTACCTAAATGGTGACTCAGTGTAAAAGCAACAACTGATTAACTGGTTTAGGCAGAGAGGAAACAACACCTAAATGTAAAATAGTAACAATCATAGTCTTTTGTCTTGAACTTACACCTACAGTCAGAGGGAGTGGTTCTTAATGTAAACTATCCTAAGAACACAGACTCCACCAGGCCATAAAGATGTTGGTTTCTTTGCCTTCTTTTTGCCACGAATTTCCACAGCACACTTGACAAGTCATCAAACCAGCCTATACTTTTAGTGCTATTTTTAAAGGTGAGAATTAATGAGATTTCACAGACAGTTTGTTTCTCAACCCATTATCATATATTTGATCAGGTAACACTTTCTTTTGAAAGTATTGTAGAGTCAATAAATAGCTTGGGCTGGAAGGGACCTCTAAAGGTCTCCAGTTCAACCCTCTGCAATGAGCAGGGACATCTTCAATAGATGGGGTTGCTCAGAGCCTGACCTTGAATGCTTCCAGGAATGAGGATCTCCCCTCCTCTGGGAAACCTGTTCCAACGTTTCAGTACAATGTTCAGTACTCATGTTTGAGTACAACATGGTCCAGCAGGCACAGGGAGACACAGCTGCACCTGTACAGCTTTGTGGGAACAAACAATCTGTGTGACTGCAGAGGAGTGTGTGTCACACACAGCAGGGAAGGAAGGCAGAGGGTGGCTGCAGTTCCTTTAGCCCTGCTGGTAAATCCACGTTATTACTTATGCTAAGAAGAGCTGCTATCCCCCCAGCAGATCTTTTCCATTTCATTTTTTGTAGAATATGATCTACAAGAGTGAGAAAATTTTATCACATTAAATGAACAGCTTACCAGGTGCTTACCTTGTCCGACAGTTCTGCTTTACTGCTTATTCTAGGTAATGCTAATATTGTTCCTCCCCAAGATCAATATCCTCTTTGCTGAAGGGACTGCCCAGACCATATGATCTTATCTCATACTGGCATTTATTTCCATGAGATGCCAGCCAAACACTCATGTTTTTAAAAAACCCTGAAATTATCATATTTGGATTTTTTCCTAGTGTTGACAGTAAGAATAAGATCACCCACTGTCAAACAGTCCTTGAGTGCAGCAAAAAGATATAAAAATAAATAATATCCTAAATCTTGGTTAGCATGTCACAGTCCTGTAACAACTTACTGCCTAAGTTTCTGAAGGCACTTCACAGCCTACAGCAGCCTTGAGAGACAGCAGAAAGCACACTGCTGGACACAGGTACTGGGCCATGCACTGTCATACATGGAGCTGGCAGGAAAACAGGGAAACAAAACATGCCATGTGCAAATGCAGCACTTTGCATGCTGGTAAGTAGGAATTAGGTTTACTTTCTACAAAAATTCCTGTAACTGGCTAAGATAAATGAAGGGGCCCTATAATACCATCAGCCCTGGACAGTGGATTTCCAAAATGTGGGGTTTTTTTGTGCAGTTGGGGCTTAAACCTGTGTCTGCTGATCAGTGGGAATACCACCATTGTTTCTCCTGGGAATGAGTGCATGCTATGTAGCTGATTATGGCTACGTGGTATCTGCAGGTAAACAAAACCTGCTGATATATTTCCCTCCACAAGTCCTTCCCAGAATAACACAAAGCTTTAAATTCACATCTCATTCATGCTATTCCTAGAAAATTAGCAAATAAAATTAAAAACACAAACTTCGTAAATTTTTGCTGTTGTAACTTCGTACTTTCTAGTTTCTACACATACACAGCTGCAAGAGACTTGGACAGCAACAGAGAATTTAGAGCATTTTTTTCAACAGAAATTCAATTAGTATACTTCTGTAAACTAACTGAATTCTAAATGCAGATGAAGCATTCAAGAATGTTAACTATATGTGTGATCCTGCTTGGAAGTACCTTAAATTCACAAATCAGTAAAAGGATTGTAGGCATTCATAGCAAGGGCATTTTCATCTGCCAGGAAAAGTAACATTCTAACAATGCTTTGGTTACTCTTTAATTTCTTTCTTAGCATTCTCTACTGAAACATGCCCCACTGTACTTCCTGGGGGGAAATACAAACACTGTATCTTGGATGGAATGTAGGACAGATACTGTGGCATCCTAATACAAGGCTCATCTTGCTTTTCCCCACCCCAAAACAGAATATATATACATGAAAATGGAAAAACCAGAGACAACATGAAAGCCTGGAATCAGATCAGCTCCAACAGATTATTAAGAAAACAGACTGCAGTAAACATCTGTTTTTTGATTTTTTTAAATTGTTCTAATTCATTAAGCTTGATCACTATCCCTTAAAGCTATGCAAGGCAACACAATAACCTACTCCCCTACTCCCCAGTTCCAGTATTCTAATTATGTAGGTAATATAAGCAAACAAATAGTGATTGATAAATGGAAACAAAGTAATGGAATAATCACAGAAATAAGGGGGAAAAAAAGCTCTGATAGGTAAGCAGAAGGAGTGAGTAATTTAAATCTAACTCCGTATCACCTTTTGGTTTACCTTAATTTCATAATACTGAAATTTTGATGCACAACCCTCATAGAAATTACCCTGGCACATCAAAGCCATATCTGACTATACATATAGAGTGAAAGATAATGGAATGTTGCAAACCAAATTTATGGATAGTGTAATTTTCTGCCAAACAAAACAACTGTTTCAACAGTATTCCAAAATTTCCCTGTGTATTTTTTTTACTTACTGGCTTCTTCTTTAACTTTATCAATTTCTGCCATTAATGACACTTCTTTGTCTACGATGCTACAAAAGGAAAAAAAAGAAAGAAAAAAATCATGATTTAATTCATGCTAGAACTCCATCAAAATCAAAAACTCTAACTACATATAGACTTCAGACATTAATAAAGGGCAATTTTGAAATGAATAAGACTTAAAAAACTGAAGCTGAAGAAATACCTAGGCAAGCCAGCTACAAAAGATTAATGAGTGTGTGTTGCTTTACACAAACATCTCACTGGCCTTCCCACATATCTGCACAGATGTGGAAATCAGTCTGATTCAGCACAGCAATCCTCAAATGACTAAACAGTCTGTTTCCTAATTATGCCACATATACCAATGCTGCTACCCAGATTAATACAGCTTAGGTCTCAGCACAAAACTAAGAATGAAACAAAATTAAAGATGTGTGGAATGAGTTCTTCTTCTTCCTTAGAGATATTTTTGCATAACGTACCAAGGTAAACAAGAAAATGGTTTGTGATGTAAATAAGCATTTAAGCATCTCCATAACAGAAATCAGCTTCCTTGCGCCCTATTCCCACCAGGACTGGGGAGCTGGTCCACTTTTACCTGGCCTTCCTAAAGGAATTGTGTGCCTCTCCTTTTACAAATGCCTGGTGTGCAATCCCTGACAGTGCTTATAAGCTGTCAAAGTGCAACTAATCAGGTGGGTCTGCTGAAAGCAGACAGGACATGTGGTAAATTGGTCACATTATGAATGCAGTGACATTGTCCAGTGGAGCAACATCTCTGCAGAATGCTCTCCAGGGGACAGAGCTCTGGTGTGCCATCCTGTTCTCCCCTCACTAGATTATTCCTAAAGTTAAATTCACATTTAATAAACACCACCAATGTTAATGTTCGTGTTTGCATAAGTGAGTAAACTCAAACAGCTGGGGGGAAAACTGTAAGTAGGTCAAACACCAGGAGTACATCTAGGCATGCACTCAAGGGAAGAGTGGAGCTCTCGACTCTGTTAGTAAAATCAACCTTAAACTTTAGCTTTTGTACCCAGTGAAGACACTGAGTTACATGTGAACAGGCTTCTACTGAAGGAAGGCATTATAGAAAACTTAAATCCAAAACATTTTTCTAGAACATCTTTAGCAAGAAAGGGAAGATCCTCCAGAGTTCATTGGGCAGTAAAGAGAGACAGAAGACTTAGAGAACTATTGACAGGTCCTTAGCTAAAACGGGGGAAGATTGGTGAGCAGGCAGTGTGGGCAACACATGGCAGACACACAGCTGACAACCAAACATTTACCAGCTACAACATGTTCAAGTGCCATGCATCCCTCCTTGAAATCTTCCAACCAACCTCACACAGGAGGTCTGCAACAGAAGCTCTGCAGTCTTCTGTCCTTGAGTTTTCCCAGTCTACCATGGCCCCTGAAGAGCAGGAGACCTTTACACTGCTTCCCAGTAGCCAACACGAGGGACAGAAGCAGGCTGGCTGATGGCAAAGGTTTCAGCAAGACAACACAATTGCAGTGTAACACGTTTTTTTTGTTTCATACATAGAAACAAGACTAAAATTACTGTTTCAGCCTGCCAGATCAATTTAGTGTGACCTACACACCAGAGGAAATAAAACAGCAGGGTTTTTTTATGGTAGAGCAGATCAGTTAAGAGGCAGGCTCTGACAGTGGAAGGACACACTTATTCCAGTTGGCACTCGATATTCTCCAGGCATAAGCATTAAGCTTGAATGCCAAAATAAGCAGGTGATGATTCCAGCTTGCTAACCTAAATAGTCAAAGCTTCTCAGAATTAATCTACTTTCAATTAGCTTTTGTAACTACACGGTTTAATAAACTTCCTTGGCTTTCACAACAGGTGGCTGAAACAACTCTTGTAAGTTCTTACCTATTTCTATCCTCCAGAAAGAGAACCGAGTTATCTTTACTACTTTCTCTTAAATTAAAAAAATACTGCAGATTTTTGCTTTTTCTGTCTCTGTTATCAAAGTGCCTCCCTAGTGCACCACACAGGTTATATAAACATAAACTTCTGTCTGGAAAACATATTCAGGCAACAAAGTCACAACAGCAGAACTCATCAGAGAAGTGTTTTAGTGCAGCTCATTCCAGGATTGTCCTCTCTGCAGTCTAACAACAGATCCTTAGTAAACTGGTGACATCTAACATTTTATTTTGATGCCAAATAAAACCACTTTTAAAACCAGAATGAAAACAAAGCCATAGCAGTCCTATATTTATCATATTTTATAGTCAAATCTTATCTGTTAATAGACAGTTCTCCACTCTTAATGTTTCATTTTGGTCTCTGACGAACATTTCAGCAAAGTGTTCGGATGTCACGGCAGTAGAGGACAGGACCAATGAATGTAAAAAACAACCACCTGAGTACTTCCTTTCTAGCTATAAACTAACATTGAAAAAGAGTAATACAAGGGAAAGCCTGTTTGGTGCCTTTGTCCATGTAAGAAACCAAGTTTCTTTAGCAGACAGACCTTGAAAAGGTTTTCCTTCCCTGAAGACAATGCAGCTGTACTAATTTCTATCAGCAGAGGACATGCATTCTCTCTTGGCTGAAGGAAAGGAACATACTAATTTTCATCTGGAAGCATACAACCACATTTCTCAGCTTGGAAACCTTAAACTGCCATATGTCATATATGGGAAAAGTTAATGTTTCTTTAGAAATCCTAGGCCAACCAGCACCGGGAAATGCAAAACAGAACAACACTGCTTCCAACAAGGATTTATCAAAGTTACAAACAAATGAAAACAACAGACAGAAAACTGGAAAAAAAATCCCTGGCCTGGCGAAAACAAAAAAAAACCCAAACAAATTACAAGTAAGAAGAGGAATCTTAATGCTAACATATAGAAGGAGAAAGGATAGGAACAGTGTGGAAAAATCAATGGATCAAATCTTATCTCTCATTCCTGCTAGTATCCCACTGTTTCCACACAAAGGTCTGACAGCCAAACTGAACAGCTCTTTAACTTAGGAGTTCAACAATTTTTAATGTATTTTCTGGAAAAATGCCCTACTCAGCCTTAATACAGTGATTGTGATTAGACCACAGGAAAAGTGTTACTGAGAACAGCACAGCAATACCTCCCAGGAAAACATTTTCTTTTAATGCTTCTTAGTGTCCATTTGGCACTAAAATGTTGTATCAAGCTGGTACAGCCTGTAGCCATTGGTGTGCTGTGGAGAACGGGATACTGAGTGCTACAGGAACTTTCTGCACACTCAGGTGTGACCAGATTTGAGCTCTAGCAGAGCAAGGAACAGAATGCATTTCAGATCTAAAGACACCTGAGGGAAAACATTCTACCAATTCCTTCCTTTCCAGTTATGTTATTTCTCTTGGGTTTTCTATAGATGTTTGGAACCAGGATTAAAATCATGAACCTACTACTTTAGGCTGAAGCATGGCTGAAGCCATGCCTTCTCCTTACCCTGAATATCAATATCAACACTTGAATATATTCCCACATACTATTTGAGACTGGTGACAAACAAGTCAGAACCACTTCCTTCTTTGAATGTACCTCAATCCATGCCCTAATCATCAGTTCACAGGTTCTCCTGCTGTAGTAGACCAAACACTGGGACTCAATTCTCCCCTTCACTGATCAGACTCAAGACAGATCTGAATCAAGTGAGCCTTATCTCTGTGACTGATGATACAGAAAAAAACAGAGTAACATTACTATCTCTTTCTTTTCTGCCTCCCTTCACCACACCTATCTCCTGAAAGGACTGATTCTTCCTTTTCTTATCCCTCATGTTTTCAGGACCAAACTTGAGCTATCAGCATCATATCACTGTTCACCACAGGTGAGTATCTGCAGTTTGGAGCACAGGATTTAGCACTGTTTGAGCTTAATATTCAGGTGAAATTTTGAAGTGGGGCTCAGGAAGGAGACAATTTGTTGAGAGGACATGGCAAAGCAGAGGTTTAACACAGAGGACATGCAAATGTGAAACAGCCAGTGCTCATGCTGTAGAGGTATGAGATGCAGCAGGAGAGACAGCAGCTCTCTAGGAATCATTTTGCTGAAATGATTTTGGAGGCAAAAACATAAGGGCCTCATTCCTGGTCAAATGAACAGTACTCATGCCTTGGCCCTACAGAGGCTGGCAGGACTCACACTAGTGTGGAAAAAAGAGCTGCAAATGCCAAACTACAATGAGCTGTTGGCACAGCAGTGATAGGGGCAAATTATGCTGACAGCTGCCTCATTTCACAGTTTCATACTCAGAACAAATTCTGAATTTGTTCTGACATTAGTGGAAACAAATTAATCTTCCTCTAGTTTACAACATGAAATCTAGTATTTGCACAGTGCTAAAGAAATGATATTTTCAGTCAGCTGCAATACCTCCAAATCCCACTAAAATGATTAAAGTTATTAGTGCCTCTTGAGAAAAGCTGCTTCAGATTGCCAGGCTGGCTGATTTATAGCTTTACTGATGAGAATCACAAGGTTTTCAGATGACCAGAATCTTCTCTTTCCTTCTGCCTCTTCTAGGCTTTATGACAAACCTATTGTGCTTGAAGAGATGGGGAAATAAAAAGACCAAGCTGACAGGGAGGCAAACATGCTGACAGAGCTCACGAAGGTAAGTCCCAGCTGCATGGCATAGAGGTTACTGTTAAGCATAATTCAAATAATTCTTTTCATAACCCTGTTAAACCCCTCAAAATGCCAATTTTCTTCTTGGGGTGTTTAATAAGCTTTACTCTCCCCTGAACCAGCTTGGTGCATAGTTTCAGTATGATTGTTGTTCTGGACACTGAGGAAGACAGTGTCAGCTGTGGCATCCTGAATAACTGCAGCAGGCCTCTTCATCTGGAAGGGGGAAGAACTATTTTTTCCTGGGCATCCTCTGGGGGCTGGTTCAGCTGGAGAGCTGCTGAACACTGAGGTACTATTTGAACCCTTTTTTCATAAGGAAGAGAGAGTAGTGAGACACTGTTGGAGTCTGACAGTTTAGGCATCAACAAAAATACAAGATACTGCAGTAATGCTGCTCTGT